TGTATCAATTCTTCCGATTTTTAGATAATTAATTTTAAGTTATTTTAAAAATTATAAATAAAAATTATATCAAAAACTCTATTACAAACTTTTAAAATAAAATAAAATAAGTTATAAAAACTTCTATAAATTGCACCAAGCAATTTCTACTATTATTTATTATTTTATATATTTTTATATATGATATTGGAGAAATTTTTGTATGCCAATAAGGTATCATATGGCACTATCTTTCACTAATCACAAAGGTATATGTCCACTATTGTTTTCTAAACACCCAACATAAATATAGTAAATCTTATTGTCAAAGTCAATCATAATAATAAAAGGTATCACATAACATATATTTTATTCCCATACAAAAATTTCTCCCGACAATGAGATAAAAACTGAGTTGGTTTTGTCAGAGAGAGAGAGAGTTGCCTAGATTTGTTAGTAAATGATAGGTCCCAACAATTGGAAGAGTAATGATGTGGAGATGGTGCTTCCCATTGAAATACAGCAGTACCTTGTTGTCCATGACCCAAACCTAAATTTGTCTCACTTGTTTGAAATTTTTATACACAGAAAGAGACAGAGAGTTTAAATAGTTGGTGACCACTGACTACCAGTGAGGAGAGCAATTAACCTTTTGTCTCCCCTTCACAGTCTTTGCCTAACTCATTTAATCGTGAGACCACTTGTTTTCTCTCGCTGCAAATAGGGGTGAGTATGGTGCGAATTGAATTGGATTGAGATAAAATTAAGATTAATTTGTTATTTACGGTTCTTAAAAAATTAAAATTAATTCAATCCGTTTAAATCATAGAACCAATCTATTTAAATACGAATTAGATCGGTTTAGGAATACGGATTCACATAATTAAATAACAAAAATAAATATATAACACTTTAATTTTATAAAAATATAAACGTAGCGCTATATTAGTTCCACAATAGCAATATATTTTTCTATAATAGTGACATACTGTTCTAGAATTTAAACAACCATAAGAAAACTGATTTCACCATAAGTATTTAAACCATTACAAATTAAAACTAAAAACAAACAAACAAAAGTAATAAAAGAAGATATTATACGGTTTTAGATTTGAGTTTAGATTTTATATAGAATAAGAGAAGATACTATGAGGGAGGATGTATAATAAAAATATGGACTATTTGTATAGGGTCCAGATCGGTTCCAATCCGGAACCGTGGGATTCAATCCGGAACCGAACCGTGGACTACAAATTTTTAATTCTTCAATCCGGAACCGAACCGCGGATTCAAAAAATCAATCCAAACCTATCGGATTGGACTGGACTGGATCGGATTACGGATTTCACAAATTCCTTACTCAGCCCTAGCTACAAAGATATTTAAAGCATTTGGTGATGATATTCCATCTCTTATCTTTAAATCTCTATCCCACAATCTTCAACAATCATGATCATTAGATAATACTTTAGGATTAATGTCTTTAATTTTTACACATAAATCAATAATTCGTGGATAATATTTTAGGATTAGTGTCTTCAATTTCTACACATAAATCAATGATTATAAGTATTTTACAAAATCTTTATAGTTTGTTACTTGTATCAATATAATTCATTACTTATGTCAATTTGATACTCATTGTTATAATAGTAACAAATTTGCCCATTACATTTTCACATTATGTCAATTAATTCAATTATTAACATTCTTAGAAATCAAACTGAAATTAACAAATAAAATAATCTATTAATTCTTCTTAAAGTGATTGAGGGGTCGATATTTAATTTGAAATTCAATAGTAATAGAGAGCTCTAGTAGAGCTACTCTAACAGCAGCTCTACTATAGAGCTGGTGGTATAAAAAAGAAGAAGAGAAAAAAAAAAATGAGAAAAAGACAAAACATAGTAAAGAAAAAGACAAATTAGAGCTCTTATTTTAAAACTCTAAAACATTTTCCTTTAAAATTATTCATTCTAATATGGACCACTTTATTCAATTTCTCAACTAAAGTTACCACTTAGACTAAATTGACATAGTTTGAAAAATTAAAAGACAAAATTAATACAATTGACATTATAAAGATCAAAATTATATAAGAAACAAATTACATGAACCACATATATAATCTGCTCAAAATATTTTGAGATTAAAAAAATAATAAAAAAAGACAAAAATTTAGCCATAGAAAGAAAACCTTGCCCCTGATGATGATGACCATCAGATTCTCCATTTGGTCATGAATGGAGACTGAAAACTACTTGCACATAGCTAGGCAACAATTGTTTTTGTGCTTATATGAAATGTTGCTTTCGAAGGATTTACAAATGGTTAGAGAGTGGGTAAACCAAGATGACCTAAACCACTGTCAAGTCAAGCTTGCCATCCATATTAAATCCCGAGCTTGTCTTTTTTAGACTATTATTTATGGACACCACATATAACCTAACCTAACTTGAAAGAAATTTTTTTTTTTTTTCCTGATTTGTCATTTGTTTGGAAATTTTGGGTGATGGACATGTAGCATCTGTAACTTGGAAGTCTGGTGTGCCTGTCACATGCTTACCAAACAAATGATTCAATGTGACTAGGGCTTTAGGCGAGAAAAGTGTGGGAATGCTACCAAGAGGAGAGAGGTTGATCATGTTCAAGAGGTCTTTGCAAAGTTGGATAGATAGATACTCCTCATTACATAATTATGAAAGAGATTTTTGTGGCATTATTTAATAATTATAAAAAAAAATCATTTTAATAAATGTAATAGCTTTAAATTCATATTGTAATTCAAATAGTCAGAGGGTACTTAAGTATTAGTTGTGTTATTCTAAATTGGCAGCTGGGGTGTATTGGATTATTAAAAATAATTTCACAACATTAAAAATAATAATTAAAATATTCAAATTTCAACAAATAAAATAATAGAGTGATAATAATCAATATAAAAGTAAAAGAGATAGAAAAAGAAAATCAAATACATTGATTTATAGTGATTCGACACGCCAGGCCTACGTCCACTCCTCAAGTATCCTCCTCTAGAATTTCTCCACTATTCTTCAAATAGTAATTACACCACTAGCTTCACGGGTGCTTGTGAACATTTACAACAAGTAACTAATCCCGATCACTTCAACTAGTTGAGAATCCAATGACTAATCACACCTAACACAAGTGATTTTATCTTGAAAAAATACTAACAAAAACTCCATCTTTTTAGAAGAATAATAAGAGGGGTGTAAAAACCCATTTACAATTTTTGCTCAAAATTCTCTTACAAAAATATATAACTACATGAACAACACAAGAGAATATTTTCTCAATATAACAAAACTTTATTTCAATATCTCACTTTACTTGATCTGCTCTCTGTCTCCTTTCTTTTCGGAATGCTTATTTTTATAAAGCCAAAAATCAATCTGATGAAGGAGAGACGCTCCATATCCGTTGGAAGAGACGATGACACACGGAACACAGGCCAGTTTCTTCTTTTCAAATTTAGCAGGTGGAGGAATTGAAAATATAGGCTGAAGTCGTTTTCAATAAATAACAATAACAAAATTTCAAAACAATTCCCGTAAAAACAAATGATGTATAGTGACTGCATAGTAACTTTTCTATTAAAATATTTGATTACACAGTAACTACTCCATTAAAATATTTTGTATGCATAGCAAAATCTCTTTAATTAATAGTTATATCAAATATGAAAATATATATCCCTTTTAAAATCTTGGTAGTAATTGTAGAGATTTTAGATACACTCTAATAAAAATAACCAACCATCCCATGTGAATATGTCAAGTTTTGTCAAAAAGAAAACAACTCACCAATATAACATTTGTCAAAAAAATACAACTAATCAAAATCAAATTTGTCAAAAGATAAATAGTGGTTAATCGGATTTTTCAACAAGTGAATAGTAAATTTTCCAAAATATTTTCGTAAAATTAGATATAGCACAGTAACTTCTATTTAAAAAATATTTATAATAAATATATCATATAATATATATTTTAAATAGATAATATTTTGTATCCAAAAATATAAAATATGTATATTAAAAAATTATAATTTATCTCATAATATTTTAAATATCATCAAAATCAAATCATATAATTAATGAGTTGAAGTTTCAAATTTGAATCAATGGAGTGGCATTAACTTCTTATGGTAAATATAATTCTACTAACTTACATAATCTTACCGAGTGGCCATAAAAAACAAAGGAAAAAATTGGTGATCAATTCAAAGAGGGGAACACATGGGACATTAAGAATAAAGTCAGATCTTCTGTAGTTGACAATTTTTTTTACACTCATTGGGTGAAAAGGACACTTGTGACAATTTTATCTTTACATTTTTTTCTATTTACAGTGTTTCTATTTATTTTTAAATACTACTACCGATCATTGCCGTCAAAAAAAAAAAAGTCACTGATAGCAGACATGTAGGTTGACATGTAGAGAAATAGATTAATAGATAAATGATATATGAATATATTATGACAGATAGATAGATGCACAAGCAGACGTGAGAAAGTTGTGGTGTTTACCGTGGATTAGGGCTTTTATCACGCATCCATTTGTTGAAAATGTGACTTCTCTAAATGTGGTAAGCTCTTTTAACGATCACTGGTCATAGACTTTTTTTTTTTTTTTTTGGGTGACTAACACGTTAAAAAGTGCATTTCAGAATTGGTAGTTGTCTTTATTTTCGAAAATCTTCGTTACATTATTAAGCATTTGTTTGAAATGTGAGTTAATTTTTTAATTTTTTAGTTTGGGTTAAAAAGTCTTGTTTATGATAAATTTTTTTGATTTTTTTGACTTTTATAAAAAAAAAAATGAAATGATTATAGTTTGGATATGTCATTTTATCTTATTGATTTTTTAGTTCATTTTATTTTTTTTATGACTAAAATAACCAAAAAACCATATGCCAGACATAGCCTAAGGTTGTGAAATATCTAAAAAAAACTAATGTCACTACCATAACTTAAAAGAAGAAAAGATCAAGCAAATAAAGAATAGCACTTCAAAAGAATGTAATATATGCTCTAATGATACAACATTTCCATTGTACAATATATATTTCTCAACATAACAACAAAGCATTTGTTCACAAAACTGGCCTCATAAAAAAATTGAAGCTCTTCAGCTCCTCTTTCAAACTCTGCACCTACCCAATGTTTTTAAATGCCTGCTAGGTATAATTATGCAAGTACATAATGCCCTAGCGATGAAAAATGGCATCATAGTAGGAGCAAGATCCTCTGCCATAATTTTCCTAGCACAATCTTGCTCTCATTTTTATCATAGCAAGACACGTTAGCAAAGATAATTCATAATACAACGGGCTCGGGCTAGGGCTTTTTTCTTAAACGTACTCCTCAGTGCATGTATTGTATTCTCAACTGTGTCAATCATGAGGGTGAGAGGGTGAGATTCCTCATATCCTCTTGCAATTTATCCCAATTCTATTGCATTCATGTTTCATACCATGTCACCAATAATCTCCACATGAACACTCCCCATCCCTGAAATGGTGAAATCGGCTATTATCCCTCACAATTATCTCTCTCCCAACAATCTTTGATATGAACTTTGTTGCTACGTGGCAGTCAACGCATACGCGAAGATTCTTTGTTACGCGGATTGTCATCCCAGCAGGAGTGGTAATGATACCAAATGCTATGGCAAGTCTCTCACTGTGGCTACACAATAAATCTCTCTTTTGCTCCTCCTCAACATCATGAAACACCTCATTTGTGTCCGGAACATAACCTTCCCTCTCCATTAGCTCTAAAAGAACTTTAAGCACCTCATTAATTCTATCAAAATATGGGTGAGATTCATCTCCTGCCACAAAAGCATGTACCTTGTTCTTTACTTCAATCCAGCTACAAGCTGGTTTCTTCCTCATGCCCTTATCCCTCATGGTAGTTCTCAACTTCGCCGCATCTTTCCACCTTCCAGCAGCTGAATATGTGTTTGACAAAACGACATAAGCTCCCATATTATCTGGATCAGCTGTAAATATTTTTTCTGCAACTTTCTCTGCCAATTCAATATTCTTATGGACTCTACAAGCAGCCAACAATGTTGACCAAACACTCCCTGGTGGTCTAACATGCATGCTAGAGATGAACTCATAGGCTTCCTCCAATCTTCCAGCTCGACCAAGAAGGTCTGCAACAGCAGCATAGTGCTCCAAGCACGGGGCAATCCCATAATCATGGATCATACTGTTAAAATATTGCCAAGCTTCATTGACTAATTTGGCATGACTACAAGCAGTTAAAACGGCCACATATGCCACGGAGTTGGGTTTCACCCCCTCCGTCTCCATCTTCTTAAACAAGGTGATTGCCTCATGGGCATGTCCATGCAAAGCACATCCCATGATCATAGCTGTGCACGATACCATATCATGTTGTTCCATGCTATTGAAAATCCATCTAGCTATCTTAATGTTCCCACATTTCCCAATATCAGTCTATAAATAGAGAGCTAAGCTCCCTTTGTATAAACACACAACAAATATATATACACATTTATTCATTTGCTCTCTCTCTCTATCAATTTATTTTACAGTAACCATGGAGTTGCTTCCCCAAATGTAGTGTCGTCAAGTGAGCACAAGCTGGCATTATGCTTGAAAAGGACACGGTGCTAGGTTTAACTTTAGCCAACAACATTTGACGAAACAATTTCAGGCCTTCATCAAACAGACCATTTTGAACGCATCCTGCAATAATAGAATTCCATGAGACACTATCGCGGTGAGGTAACAGGTTAAATAATCGACACGAATCTTCCACCCTTGTACAGTTTGCATACATATCAATCAAGCTGCTTCCAATATATACATCTGTATCAAACCCATGTCGAATGGCATACCCATGAATTTCCTTTCCCTTCACAACATCCACATATTCTGCAAAAATAGGGAGGACACTGGATAATGTAAAGGAATCGGGCTGCAAATTGGCATTACCCATCTCCCTAACCATCTCTAGAGCTTCCCCATACATCCCATTTTGCGCATTTCCTGCAATCACCGTATTCCACGAAACAAGATCTCTATTTGGCATCATTTCAAACACTTTTCTAATACTATCCGCATGTAAAGCCCCATTTTGTCCGTTTCTCATCACCATATCATTTTTCCCTTGCAAATGATCAATAACCACCCTGTGTGTATTATTTCGAGGCAACGTATAACTCATATTCTTTGAACAACCTATAGGATCACCATCATCCACATGTTTTTCAAATTTATCGATCAGTTCATATGAATTACTACAAGAACTCTCATTATGCATGTCATTGCCATTCAATTTGTCAAAATCAACAAAACGACTCCCACATTTGTCAGTCTTCCTTGAGTTGGGACTTTTATCAAGCACTTCAGCTGCAATATTTCCACACCCACCATGCTTATCCAAACTTTGCAATTTCGAATACATATTCATGAGTGCATTACCCGTATATAAATCGAAATCCATTCCAAGATGAGTGATACACCCATGAACAGACTCACCAAACCTCAAATCCATCAGATGGGTACATGATTTTAGAACAGAAGGGAACACATTATGATCTGGGTATTTCCCCGAAGCTCGCATTTCCACAAAAGCAGCCAAAGATTTGATGAAAAGACCATTAAAAGTGTAAAATCGGATGATGGATTTCCAAGCAAGAGTGGGAGGTGAGTGAAGTGTGTTGAACAAAATGAGTGATTCATGATAGAGATTCAAGTTTGTGTAGATGGAGAGAATGATGGAAAGGAGAGAAGCAGAGTTTGTAGTGGGTTTGGTTTTGATGATTTGGGCATGAAGTTGTTTGACTTGGGATTTGGATGTGATGGAAGATGGGTTTTGGAGGAGTGTTTTGAGGAAAGTTTGAGTTGAACTCATTGGCTTTGACTTCTATGGAAGAGAATTGAAGTGTATGATTTGCAAGCACATCCCATGATCATAGCTGTGCACGACACCATGTCATGTTGCTCCATGCTATTAATGTTCCCACGTTTGGCATACATATCCACTAGCGAGCTAGCTATAAACATGTCAGCATCAAAACCGCCCTCGTTATGTAACCGTGGAGTTGGTTCCCCAAATGTAGTGTCGTCAAGTGAGCACAATGTCACATACCGGCTCATTGGAACCAAACACTTTATAAATGTATTAGTTTATGAGCGACAAGATAGATAGGATAGATCCCTATCTCATTATTTGAGTTGATCCTTAGGCATAATGCACGAGGTACGCAGTATCACTCGTAGAGCTGGCTTTTTGAAAGGATGACAAGCGTCCAGTGTGTAACAAGTGGTATCAGAGCCAGCCTATGGACATTGTGTTGGGACAGTTCGTGGGTCTTATACCAAGCACCTTCACTGTGGGGACTGCACCAAGAGTGGTGTCCGAGCAGGGTGAGTTTTCCATGGGTATAGGAACGGACAAGTATGGAGGTAGGCAGGATAATGTCCTCCTAATGAGAGCGTCAAGGATTGACTGTGGTAGCATGTCATGTACTGACTCATTGGGGATGCAGATGGAGAGAATGATGGAAAGGAGAGAAGCAGAGTTTGTAGTGGGTTTGGTTTTGATGATTTGGGCATGAAGTTGTTTGACTTGGGATTTGGATGTGATGGAAGATGGGTTTTGGAGGAGTGTTTTGAGGAAAGTTTGAGTTGAACTCATTGGCTTTGACTTCTATGGAAGAGAATTGAAGTGTATGATTTGCAAGCACATCCCATGATCATAGCTGTGCACGACACCATGTCATGTTGCTCCATGCTATTAATGTTCCCACGTTTGGCATACATATCCACTAGCGAGCTAGCTATAAACATGTCAGCATCAAAACCGCCCTCGTTATGTAACCGTGGAGTTGGTTCCCCAAATGCAGTGTCGTCAAGTGAGCACAATGTCGCGTACCGACTCATTGGAAATGTGAGTTTTATACCAAATACTTTATAAATGTATTAGTTTATGAGCGGCAAGATAGATAGGATAGATCCTTATCTCATCATTTGAGTTGGTCTTTAGGCATAATGCACGGGGTACGCAGTATCACTTGTAGAGCTGGCTTTTTGAAAGGATGACAAGCGTCCAGTGTGTAACAAGTGGTATCAGAGCCAGCCTAGGGACATTGTGTTGGGACAGTTCGTGGGTCTTATACCAAGCACTTTCACTGTGGGGACTGCACCAAGAGTGGTGTCCGAGCAAGGCGAGTTTTCCATGAGTATAGGAACGGACAAGTATGGAGGTAGGCAGGATAATGTCCTCCTAATGAGGGCGTCAAGGATTGACTGTGGTAGCATGTCATGTACCGACTCATTGGGGATGCAAGTTTTGCATGAAGCATCTTGCAAGCGCATTAGTTTGCGAGCAACAAGACAAGCAGGATAGATCACTATCGCATCACCTGGGTTGGTCCTTGGACATAATGCACGGGATATGCAATACCACTCGTGGAGCTGGCTTCTTGGGAAAATAACAAGCACCCAGTCCATGACAACAAACTGACATCATGTTTGAAAAGGACACAGGCCTAGGTTTAACCTTTACTAACAACATTCGACGGAACAATTTCAGGCCTTCATCAAACAGATCATTTTGAACACATCCTACAATAATAGAAATCCATGAGACACTATCACATTGAGGTAATAAGTTAAATAGCCGACATGAATCTTCTACCCTTGTACAGCTTGCGTACATATCAATCAAGCTACTTCCAATATATACATCTGTATCAAACCCATGTCGAATGGCATATCCATAAATTTCCTTTCCCTTCACAACATCCACACATTCAGCAAAAATAGGAAGGACACTGGGTAAAGTGAAGGAATTGGGCTACAAATTGGCATTACCCATCTCTCTAGAGCTTCCTCATACATCGCATTTTGTGCATTTCCTGCAATCATTATAGTCCACGAAACAAGATCTTTAACTGACATCATTTCAAAAAAAATTCTAACACTATATGCGTGTAAAGCCCCCTTTTCACCCTTTGTTGTATCACTTTTCCCATGCGATTCATCAAAAACCCACCTTTGTGTATTATTTTGAGGCAACATATAACTCATTTGCTTTGAACAACCTATATGATCACCACTATCCACCTGTTTTTCAAATTCATCGATCAATTCATATGAATTACTACAAGAACTCTCATTATGCATGTCATTACCAATCAATTTGTCAAAATCAACAAAACTACTACTATATTTGTCAGTCTTCCCTGCGTTAGGACTTTTATCTAACACACCGGCTGCAATATTTCCACACCACCATTCTTACCCAAACTTTGCAATTTCGAATACATATTCATGAGTGCATTACCTGTATATAAATCGAAATCCATTCCAAGACGAATGATATACCCATGAACAGACTCACCAAACCTCAAATCCATCAAATGGGTACATGGTTTTAGGACAAAAGGGAACACATTATGATCTGGGTACTTCCCAGAAGCCCTCATTTCAACAAAAGCAGATAAAAAATTGCTGAAAAGACAGTTAAAAGTGTAAAATAAAGTCATAGATTTCTTGTCTGAGCCTTCTTCTCCTCCAAATCCAAGCCTTCCAGACGTTCCATTAATTCGATTAACCAAGGAAAGGGAAATGGCAAAGAGGAACGGGATCAAGAATCTCATCACGACTACCTCATCCGAGCTGTTGAGCAACTTATTGCCTTCCACGCCATCTGCCAGGCAAAGTTAAAGTTCAACTGTGTTGGTTTTGGCCTCCACTGCCATCCAATCCACCAGCACAGAATTGCGCCATGAAACTTCCTCACCGCAGCGACTGATTACTTCACCAAATGGGTGGAAATTGAGCCTCCGGCCACCATTAAGGAGAAAGATGAGCAAGAAACCCAGGCCTTCCATTTAGTGACTCTTGTTTTCTACCATGACATCTCATATATGATCTTGCCCACTCCTTGTGGAACACCATCAAAATTACACTCTTGATGTCATGATTATTAACTTAGACAAGTATGGAAGATAGGTTTTAGGAGGCTAACACTAGAAATAACCATCATGTGCCATTTAAAGATTTTTTTTTTTTTTTTGACTGAGAGAAAGTAATTCTGGTACCAGAATCGCAAAAGCTTTGTGAGATAAAATGGTTCCTAATGCTTAGGCTAATATTATAGCACGCCAGTGTTCTCATTACTCTAGTAGGGGAGTTTTCCACACACTACAGTCTACAACAATGAACTAGTAAGGTTGTTCGCATTAACTAAGTAAATATGAAAGATTTCAATCACCATGAAAGATTTCAATCACCTTTTTTGAAGTTTCAAGAATGTTTAATTGAGAATATACAACTTGAGAAGCTTTCTTTAGTAAGTGTGATAACCTTAACTCTACCATTAGAAATGCTTAAGGAACCAAATATATGGTTACCTCAGTTTCTTACTTCCTCAACATCATTTCGTTCTTTGTCTTATTTATTTTCTTCTTTTCTTCCAATCATTCGTACTTCTAAATTTCCTAGTGTTAAATTCTGATCTACATTTAGCTAGACTAGAAAAAACCAATAATACTATCCCCCAAGCCATCCTCAACCAAATTTTAATCACCCTTACAAATCTACAACCTACATTAGCAATGCTCACAATTATTACATTGAACTCTAAAGTATTTGGCATCAATGTTAACTAACATTCCCTTGATTCAGTTTCAGATGAACTCCCCTACACTAACAAATATTAGAATCATTAACCAACAAAATTGTGTGGTTATTGTCCATGCCTAAAACAACAGGAGCACCTAAATAAATCCCATTGTCAAAAAATTTCCACTGTCATAAGGATTTAATACAGCTTATAAACTTCTTGTTTTGCAAAATTAACACACATTTATCAATGTTCTGGAAACTTTTTAAACAATTTGCCACTAGTTTGACAGGATTTCTAAATATTACATTTTTCCTCACAATAACTTACAATCATCAAAGTCAGAGCTACTATTAGATAAAAAGGAAACCCAACTTGGCCCAACCTGTTAGGGTTCTGGAATAAAAAAAGCCACAGCCTCTAGACCTAGCGAGAGGCATAAATCAAGAGCCTACCATCCCCAATATATATATGCATATATTCTTTATGAATTTTTTTTTTCTGCAGCATAAATATAAAGTAATTCAAAACTTCTACGGAAAGTTAAACCAAGTTGTGAATGATGGTGAGGCATGCTACCAACTAGATGGGTCTCTAAACATATACTCTCAAATTTCTAGTGAAAAAAGTCCAAATCATCCAAATATATATATAAATTTACGATCCATTTGATCGTTCAAACAGTTGAAAGTAGTAGAATAAAAAGGAATCGATTAGAAATGGATTGATAACCAAACATACATTTAGCTAGTTTCTTTTCCTTTTTCGAGCAATTTCTTAGCATCCAAACAGAACGAAGAAAAGAATTAGGTAACTTTTTTCTGTTCGAATTAAAGCCAAGAATCACAAGAGTGATGCCAGAAATCGTGGCTTCCTTATGCATTAATGAATTCCCATGCATTGCCAAGTCATTTGCTTTGCTAATGCTATAATATGTCAACATCATTAAATTCAACTGTAATGTCTCTCTCATTTGGTTTTCTCAGCATAATCATACAATCACACATACTTGAAAAAAAAAACTAGTTGTAGACGCGCCCGAACGCCCCGGGAGGGTGAGTCCCGTTCTGTTCATATTGGGCTTACTACAGTTCAGACTCTCGAATTGTCACGGTTCTTAATCTAAACCAAATAGTCCAAATCCGGCAAATCGTTTTGAGAAAAATAGATTTTTAGAAAAGAAATGCCAAACATGGACTGCTTTGCCAGATACAGAGTCGCCACCTAAATATTTTATTTTGGGAAATTTAGGAAACCCTGACTCGGTGCCAAAGGCCACGTGTCCGTCATCACCAAAGTTGCCTCGGCTCGGGAACTTGGGTACGATTGGGGAAGGTCATTATCTGGTTCAAATCTGTCTAGAAGGGGCATTGAGCAGGTACAAAATTCACGTTGTCATTCACACTCATGCGAGATGCTAAAGCATAAATGCTCACCTAGTACTCCGTGCCAAAACAATGAACTAGTTAGTAATCATATGCATGATCCCAGTTCATGTTAAGTGCCT